GTAAGTAATGTCCAGCTGTATAAAAGGCTGACGTCTGAAATCTTATGCTATGGAACTGGGCCTGCATAAGGGCACCTGCTAGGCAGATGTATAATGTGTTTTATGTGTGTGGGTGTTGTGTGGGTTGCTGTGCTGCTGTGTGTCATCTGTATTCTCTGTCTCAATAACATCCCACCTCCCACCCATCATCCATTTGTGCATTTGTTTTGAAGGGGATTTTGGTCTCTCATCTTTGAACTCAGGCATATGTGAACAACTGAACAGCTTGCATTCGCACATAAGAAGAGGAGGGGCAGTTTGCAGTTTCCATGCAAACAATTGTCGGCACTTGTCACAGTAAATGAAACTCAAACATGAGCGCTGCATTGTGATCGGTTGTTTTAACTGTCAACAGCAATGAATTAGTTACAAAAACATACTTTTTATGCTTCAGCTTGTGGTGCATATTATTGGGCTGCAAGATACATTTTCTCAAGCATTAAATAAACTACAAGTAGACCGTCACTCATTGTAGAAGTTGAGTCTCTGTTGCTGAGCCCCTTCCTTCCTTTCCCTCCTGGACTTTAGGTAGGCTTAATGAAGATTCCCATTTCACCATGACATAAATGGTGTGATAGGAGTCTTCATCGGGGCCACTTGTGTTTTGTGCACACATATCATTTGATGGTAAAACTCTAATTCTTTCTTGCAAGGGTGAGAATTATGGTATTGTTAGCATCACCAGCATCCATTCTCAGCATACATTGTCAGTATGCCCTGTTCACAAACCCAATTGGTGATCTCCTCTTCAAGCAAGCTGCGTTTATGAATGACCTCCCCTTTAACCAGGCTTCCTTTATCAATGACCTTCTTTTCAACAAAGCTACCTTTATCAATGACCTCCCCTGTAATAATGCTTCCTTTATCAATAACCACCCCTTTGTCCATTTTGTGTCAGGGACATACCCTTCAACTAAGCCACTTTTATGAATGGCCCGCCTTTGAACAAAGCCACGTTTATCAATGACCACTGCTTTGATTAAGCCATTGATATTGGTGGCATACCCTTCAGCTAATCCACCTTTACCGGTGACCTCCCCTTCACCCAAAACCCCTTAGTCACTGGTCTCCCCTTTTTGTTGAACTTGGAACAAAGTCCTTCTCCGTCTGTAAAATCCATGTGTTTGGAACCGTGAGCTAAGACCTCGATTTGTATCCCAGCCTTCCCTTGCCTCTCCCTCCCTTTCCCCCCTCCTGTGTCTCGCATGCAGTGGGCAGTGCCGGTGCTGTGTACGGCGTTAAATATGCAGAGAGCCAGCAGAGCGCAGCAGCTGTGGTCATGTGCAGAATCGCCCTGCTCGTTTGATTTATGGTGTTTGCGGTGCCCACTGATTCTGCACTATCCCCTGCACCGCTGCAGTGGCGTTCGCGTTCAGGGCGACACGCCATAGGCTCCTGGCTCAAGCGTGACCACATTTTCAACTCCGCTTTTGTCTTAGCGGCATAGAACCCAGTCAGCGGTGAGGAATTTATGGTGATGCCTTTGAGGAACGTGTTATTATCATTATCAAAGAAAATCGTGTGGAAAGGAGTGCATTATTAGAAAGTCTGGAGGGTGAATTGTCTGACGAGTCTTTTTTTTGTTTTGTTTTTTTCCGTAGTAATCTGTATGATTCATCTGTCAATGGAGGCAGAACAGGCGTCACGAGGAGACATAAAAATAGGAAGCGCTTGAAAGGTGGGCATTGGATTTGATCTGACCTGTGGTGAGCCCATGGTGTTAGTATTAGAGATTGATTTTGTTGGGAAAGGCGGCGGTATCTGTGCAGCCGTAGATTGTGTGAGGAAATCAGCAGCTCCCTTCTCTGACTGCAGGGTGAATCTCTGAAGTAGCAGCTGTGGGACCTGCAGCTGTGCACGTTCTCTCCCCATCACTTTCACCCTACTCTCACACCACTGCTTTGGAGTTACCCCACTCTCACCCCATTTTTTTTACCTTCCTCTTACCCCACTCTCACCCCACTGTCCCACTCTCACTCCATTGCCCCTTTTTTACCTGCCTCTTACCTCACGCCCACCCCACTCTCACCCCTCTCTCACCCCTACTGCCCCCTCTCCCTCTACTGTTCCATTCTCACCTCACTACCCCTCTCTCACCACCCTCTCACTGTGCTCTCTCTTCTCTCATCTCTCTCCCACCCCAATCTTGCTGTACCTTCCCTTCCCTCTCTGGCCCTGCTCCCTACCCTTCCATCTTGAGCAGTTCAGACTAGTCCTGTCTGCACTGGTTTCATTCTCCTGGTGGTCCACGAGAATGGTCTCCCACGGCAACAGCCGCTGATGTTATAGAACCCACAGAATTACAGCCCTTGGCGGAGCATCGACGGCTGCCGGGGTTCGATAGCATGCTTCGATATCTGGGAGAAGCTCGCCGCTACCCCGGTGGGAGGGCACTGATGATCGGGAGATGTCCACGCTGTTGCCGGCCTGATGGACTGGTGGGGGAGTGAGGGAGTGCAGGTGGTGTCTGAATTCAGGAGAACAGATCAGGAGTCAGGCTAACCGATCGCTATCACAGCTTGAGCCTGTCCGGGCTAAACTGCGGGTTTCCAGTTGATTCAGAACGCATCAAGCGTGTCTTAACCTTATCTTCTGCTGACACCTGCTTTATCTCACTTCTAAAACCGCGGCGTTTAAAGCCCCTGCTTTTCTACATGCGTTCCCCCGACAGACAATTTCAACGTCGGGAACCCGCGCCCCCGCCCCAAGATTCCGGCAGCGGCGTTGATCCGCGGGTAACTTAGTTACAGGATGTTAATCTGAGTGCTTTTGATAAGTAGCTGCTGTATCTGATCAGCGGCCTGAACGCCGGCGCTCGTTTGCATGTGGCTCCAAGCCAATGGCGCAGCGTGAGCAGGGGAGAGAGCCGCCTTGATTCATTCACCGGCTGCAGCGCCCGCATTCGCAGGGCATTCATGCAGGCCTTTGATGCGATTTCTGCACCTGCGCCGCCGAGAACCAGAGGATGCGTGTTTGCAGCGGCAAACGCCACTTAGCGCAGCGGTGTTTAACTGAAGTGTGTTTATTATATTGTGGAACTCACTAACACATGACTCTGCCAGTATTCCTCTCTATCACAGGAGTGTGGTCCCCATTCCTCACACTTTGATTTTTTTTTTTTGTTTTGGCTCGGAGGCTGGGGACCGGGGGCTGGAGGCGGGGGTCTTGATTAGTCTCGATTAAACAGCATGGGGAAGGCTGAATCTGGAGAGGAAACTGCTGGTGCTTAAATGCTGGCAGACAGGCCGTATCCAGCATGCTCAGAGAATACGTGTGTTCAGCGCAGATCGCAAATGAGCAGAAGCCTGCAGCGGTGGGCGTCTCTGAGCGGGTCTTTTGTGTTGTTTCTGTTTGACAAACCTTCAGATTTGGTCTTTGATCTGCAGGACAGTGCAGGGTGGCCATGACCCTGAGGTCCATTTATACATACCCATTTATACAGCTGGGTATTTACTGCGGCAATAGTGGGATAAATACCCTGCCCGAGGGTACAGCAGCAATGCCCCAGAGGGGAATCGAACCGCCAACCTTTTGGTTATGAGTCCTGCTCCTTAACCACTACCACCCAAAGTTCCAAACACGTCCAACGGGGGGCGCTGTCTGCATGCCCGCCAGCGAGGGGAACAATGGGTGACAATGTTTGCACTTTCACTCTGCTGCCCGTTTGTTTTTTTTTTCCACACGGGCTGAGCAGTCTTCTCACGCCCAACCCGGGGGAGAGGCTCTCAGATGGCTCTGCACCACCACGGGTCACATGGGTCCAGCGAGCTCCCCCGCTGCGGCTCCCACCAGGTCCCGCACAGCCAAATGTCAAACTCAGTTGGCATTTAGTGAGGGCAATATGCAGCAAATGAGCTCTCATTAGAGTGTTTGTTTATCGCATCATAACAAGTCCTGTGTTGAACTAATGAAACTAATACGTCGGCTAGAAATAGCGCTTTGTCTGCCGTGATCCTTTAAGTGTATTTCCTGTATCATTGCTGGAGAAGGACAGAAGTATGTAGGCATGCAATGTTGTTTATTTCTCACGTTTCACTGCGAGAAATCGCATTCTGGTGGGCACAGATCCCTATGCAATATCGAGTTCTCCTTAATTGTTGAACTCCCTTAAGTTAGGAATGAGACATGATGGTGGAAAGGAAGGTTTTTGAGTGAGGTGTGTGTTTTCCCCCCATGTTTGTGTTGGGGATTGTATGGCTGTGTGTGAAGTCTGTCACATTTCTCCCAGCGAGCTCCCAGGGTCCACACAGGTCCTTATCTCATCACATGTAGGAATGAGCTCCTGATGTAGCGGGAATGAAAGCGTGGCTCGATGATCACAGATTGCCTGCCGTCCCCCAGGTGCTGTCCCCCAACAGTTTCGGATAAACCCGACCTGCCTGGGAGCCTCACCTGCGTCACCACTCCGGGAGGGTCCCGCCGGGGCCTCTCGCGCCGCTTCCGAGGGGCCCCCGGAGACCCGGGAGCGAGAGATAGGCATGGAAACAGGGGAGCTGCCAGCCAATCAGCCGGCCAGAGCGTTTTGGTAGAGGGTGGATGGTTCATCGCTAATGTGGGGACGGTTCATTGCTCATTATCGACCATAAGGGGTCGCATGTGCATGGCAATCAGTGGACAGATTGATTGAGGGGCAGCGTGCCAACACTGCTGACTGCTGGACCATCAGATTTGTATCCCTAGCCAGGCGTGCTGAGAATTGGGACTCCCCTAGAATCGACTCCCAGGGAAGAGAATGCAGAAAGAGACATGAATGTAAATGTATTGTTTTTCCATTATTTCTCAAAATGATATAATTATGGCAGGACATCAGGAATAACTACATTACATTATATTATTGTCATTTAGCAGATGCTCTTATCCAGAGCGACATACGTAGGTTACATGTTTTACATGTTATCCATTTATACAGCCAGACATTTACTGAGGCAATTCTGGGTTAAGTACCTTGCCCAAAGGTACAGCGGCAGCGCCCCAGCGGGAAATCGAACCAGCAACCTTTTGGTTGCAAGCCCTTCGCCTTACCACTATGCTACACTGCCACTAACTAGGGACTTTACACTGCACACTGCCATGGTGTGTGAGAACTTAAATATTGTGTCAGCAATCAGCTTTGCAGGGTCTCCATTCCTTTTCAGTTAGGTGAAGTGTTGTGCTGTAAGCTATATATGTGTCAGGATTCATTGTCATTTGGTTGGGGCATTAATCTGAGGCAGATTCAGGGGTCCATATATGCTTTTTCATTTTCGCTTCAGTGTCCCAGGAAGACAACCTTGATTTCCAGGCAAGGGTCAGAAGGACCTCACCGGAGATCTGAACCCGAAACCCTCTGGACAGGCACCTGCCTTTTTAACCACCGCAGGGTGTCACTGGAACAAGCAGCCCTGCCGTGGAGTGTCCCTTACCTGTCACCTCTATCTGTCACGGCCCCGCCCCGTAGGAGAGTGCACCTGACCTGCCATCTGCCACCCCGCCCCTGCCCGACCGCCCCCCTCAGAGAAAACACTCGCCCGTCAAAATCAATTACCGTCCCCCTTTCGACCCCCGTCCCGACCACGCAGTCTGGTCCCCGTCCGGAGCCCGTCCGCAGCAAGGACGGAGAGCGGTGACTTTGCCCTGGCCTTGCACTCCTGCGCGACGTCCTGTCAGGCCTCCTGCACTTGCTCCGAGGAGAGAGCCCCAGCCTCGCCTTGCAAACGCAGAGCCTCCTGGCTTTGACATTTCCACCAGAGACAGCGGAGCACCTCCAGGCCCGCTGACAGCTTCTCGCGAGTCTAAGCCGAATACATTTAAAACATGTTTAGAACTGGATGGAAATGGGCTATGGGAGGGGGAAAAAAAAGAAGAGAAAATCAATCTGCTCCTTAGCACTTTTAATGGTTTGATTTAGAGCGAGCCGTGCTCCAGAATGCAAGCCCTTTGAACCGTGACTTGAAAGGCAGACACACGGTTTTTTATCGGCCCTGCAGTGCCCCCAATCCCCCCCCCCACCCTCATCCCCCCCCCCGCGCACGCGCTCAATGCACCCTCACAGATCTCACGCACCAAGCAGAAAACGTGGAGCGAAGCGCTCATTAGCAACCACGTTCACTGTTTGGACTCTATCAGATGTTCATCATCACGCATTGCACAAAAAATCCCCTATCTGTAGATTAAACATGAATGTGTTAAATACGCTGAAGAAATAGTATTTATTTTATATGATGGATTATTAATCCTAGAATGTTTCATAAAAGTGTAATTAGCAAATTCATGGCTTTGGAGTTTAAGCTTTTGGTAATATAATGCAATACAATATAATAAGTTGTATATCTGAAATGTAACTTTTATACATGTATTTTGTTATTTACATTTGCAGCATGCAAGATTTTGTCTACAAAATTATTCTTTTTCAAGGACGTTTGTAATGACCATTATACAGCTCGTAAAATCAGCAGTTATCCCCCCAATAATATAAAGTTCTTTTTTTGGAGGGGGATTAACAAACCACCAAGCTGAAGTTCTTGGTGAGAACGTCTCTCAGTTTTTCAATCACCGGGTAATATTTCAAAACCATACTCACATAATAGAAAAATTCATCTCATTCATCTTTTCCTATTGCCTCATTGCTAGGTGCCGTATCTCAGGTTGTGAAAGCAGCCAGGCGTTAGATTATTTGAGTTCTGCCCAAGTCTGCCACCTTCCCCACTTGTTCAGCTAAATTGTCATAGAGCGAGAATTCAGGCTGAGTGACACTGAAGACAGGGGCAGTGCCGTATTCAGGGTCTGAAAATGAAGCAGGCCCACAGGGCTCACTTGGTGGTCTCCCATGCCTGTCTTTCACACCATTGCCCCGTGAGAATGCGTGGAGCATTCCACACCACACAAGTTGCACAAGTTAACTTGTAGTAGGGCTTGAATAGTGTTATGCTCACACTCGCTGGTCTGGGAGTGTTGTTTGCCTGGTCTGACACTGTTTCTCATTCAGCTTGAATGGATACACTTCTGTTCTTTTGTGCTGGAAGTCGCTTTGCATAAGAGCAACCGCTAAATAAGTGTAATGTGATGTTAACGGTCAAAGCCCTTCCGCAGCTGTTATTTGTGTATGTTGTCCCTACTGGTACAAAATGCATGGAGAGACCTTTTAGTTCTTACTGGAGGCAATTCGTTCCATGTCACCTCATGCACACCTGTAAGGCCTCATGGGAAGGACTGTCTCTATGTCCCGAAGATTAGGCTGAAGGCACTGGTGTCACAATATGGCATCGCATACAGTAATGCTCAGTGAAAAGAATATGCCTCAAGTCATTCTGTAATTTCATACACCATGCTGGATGGTGAGCCTTCCCCATCCTCCTCACTAAACTCTATCCTGTTTTATCATCCAGTTAGCCCTGCCTTCATCCTTCATTTAGGTGATATGCAGTTTCTCGCTCTCACTCCCCTGGGTAGTCTTAATTCCCTCTACTCTCTTCAGAGCATAAACATCCTTACATCAAAGCCATATACTGTATGTTTGCATTTGTGTATTTGTGTGTATATATGTGTGTCTGCATTTATGCAATCCAATGCAATGATTCATTTAATATGTATCACAGGAAAATCAAGCCGAAAAACATGAATGCATACTGCTGATTGCGTTAGCATACACATGACAGTTATCCTCAAGATCAACTTTCCTCCTTCATGTAATGTCAGCCACATTCCATGATACCATTTTTCACCTCTCTTCTGGGTGTTAGGCCTAGGACATGTCTGAGTTCTGGGTGAGATCTGAATGCAATACTAAGGATGTAGCAGTGTAGTGATTAGGATACTGAGCTTCTTAATTAAAGGTTTCAAATCTGCAGGTGAGCTTTTGTGACTAAGAGCAAAGCATTTCTCCTGATCAGCATCAGTGAATTTTAAGCTCTATAAATGGATAATGTTTGAAATGTAAGCCATGCTGGATATGTGTGTCTGCTAAGAAAAAATCAGATAAATAAATTGTGAAAATAATTGTAATGAACACAAACCTTAAAGTGTAACAGTTACAGCTGGTGTCCCCCAACTCCATTTCATCCATTTCAATTACTGTACAGGTTTAGAGTGTGTAAAATCTAATAGCCTGAGAGAGGAAAAAATGACATCAGTTTCTAAATACTCAGTTCATTGACAGAGAAAAAAGTGGAAATCAGTTCATGCTTGTTAAAGTCATTATTCTGCCAAATTAAAAACTGGCAACTATCCGTTTCCAGTGTTCCCTTGCATTCTACCTCAGCTGATGAGAGCGGCTGAAATTACATGGATCCCCCTTCGCTCTGAATGACTCAGCTGTCGCTTGGCAGTTGCCCGTCTCCGGATTGGTCGCTCCGAGCACCGGGAGATGTGAGGGTGTCGCCGTGCCAGTGAATGACCTTCATTCACAATGAAGCGCGCCGAGCTCTAAACACGCGAACGTGAGCGCGGAGCGGAAAGTTGACATTTCAGCAGTTCAGAATTTCATAATACTAACTTGCATCGGTATGTGCAGTGAATTCAGTAGGAAAACATCTTTTACATCACCAGGAAATAAAAAATTGTTGACATCTGTTTATTTCTGTGTGAACGTTGTTTTAGCAGTTCTGAATGCACGCTGTGATGTGCCAGTGCAGTTTACAGTAATGCAGTGAATGTTATTTTTCATATGGAGGGTGTAAAGATATTGACAGATGTTAACGCTGGAGCGGTCACAGTGGGAACCTTCCTCCTCTGCGCTCCAGTTGCAAGGGCCCGTACAGGGGATTGCGTCTGCTGCTTTCTCTGCTTCCAGTGATGCCTGGACAGCCCTCTTTGTCATGCATGGCTGGAGACGGTGTTTGTAGGGGTGCAGGATGGTTTCCCGCACTCACAAAGGAAAGGATTCCCTGTGTGATAGGTTGGAGGAAATTTCTCTCTCGTTTGTCTGGCAGCAAAACTAGTATACCTATGGATAATGCATGAACTGCTCTGTGTTCCTCTGTTGTTCTACAGGCTGTCCTGATAATCATCCTTATCTCATCCTTATTGATACTCAGTTAGGAAATGCATACAGAATATTGCAGAAACATTTTGTGTGAGCATTGATTTGGTTGTGTTTTGAGGAGTGAACCACCTGCCTGTCCCACAGGGTGGTGGGAGAGAAAAGAGTGACAGGGAGCTGTGCTGGGGTTCAGGGACCCCTGTAGTCTGTAATGTAAGCAGGCATAATCCTCTTCCTCTGTTATTTTAGCTGTTTAGTCTTTATTTGCTGTTATCATTAGTTATGAATTTTCATGCTTTTGGTTTATTGATCTATTTTTGTTTTGTATGTAGTTTATGCCTACTGTCTTTGTGGAGTCTTGTTTTCTCTGATCCAGCAGTAAACAACTCTCTGACTTAGATATTCTGCTGCTGGCCGATCACTTCAACATAGACTGATCAGAGCCATCCTGGTCAGTAGGAGGCCTACAGCCTAGTGAAATAATGACATGAACAGAAAGTCTCTCTGATCATAACAGTCCCCTTCTTTTGCGTAATCCAGCACCCGCTGCACGCAGCCTGGTCCCGTTTGCACCATGGGTGTGGCTGCACCCCCGAACGGAGCCGACATGGAACAAAACTATTATCCTCCCTCTGCTTTAATGTGGATTACGGTATGCCTTCTGCATCTCCAAGAAACAAAGCAAACAACAATGAAAAAAACAACAACACACGCTTGTATAATTCACTTTGGAAGCACGACAGTCACTTTATTATTCTCGCCACCTTCCCTCCGTTGCGGAGTAATTTAGCATAATGTGCTATGCATAAATAACTGATGGTCCCATTCAGGTGCATGCAGGATGCCTCGCTGAAAGCCCTGAAGAAAAGGGGAGAAGATTCGTGTCTTTGTTCTGAAATCCCCCGTGCGATGCTTCTCCAACAGAGTGCAGATTGAGTGGATCGTGCTGTGGCTGTAGCCATTTATCAAGGATCTTGTTACTAATGAACAGAACAAGAGTATTGAACAAATGCTTGAAAAGTAATTTGGAAGTTAATTTCAGTTCCAATCTAGCCGGAGACACAAAGCTATTAGTTTTGTGTA